AGAGCTAGCCTTTCAGATGTGGCTCATACACTTCCAGTAGTACATGGCCACTGCTGCTGCTTCTGAAAACAAAGGGGATGGGGAGCTGATGTACAGAGATGTGGTCAACTGTTGGTACAAAGTGTGGTCTGAAGAAGGAGTGTTTGTTTAAAATCCAGTGAGTTTTGAGTGTCCTTTTGAAGAACTTGTACATCCTAATATTTATTAAAATCCTGTCTGCAGTACAGATGGCTTTAAAACCATGTTTGAGTAATTAAGGATAAGAGATCTACAGTATGGTAACTCTAAGGCTTTGATGTTTCACTGAAAACAAATATTTCATCTTAACATGCTCCAAAGACTGGAAAATGCATTGAGAAACTTTGCCTGTCTTACTACTGGGGATGTTATTGCCATCAACTACAATGAAAAGGTACAGTTGAGGGTTGTAGATAAAGTTCAATTGTTGGATGTTGATACTAAAACAATCAACCCAGGGCTGTGCAGTGATTTGGACAAGTAATCCCTCGTGGCAGATTTCACAGATGGTTTTCTGTTGGAGGGAAAAAGAATCAGCTAAGTCTTTTTCTGAGCTGCTGTTTAAACTTTTTTTTGACTCACAAGAAAATAAATGTTTGTACTGTTGAAGGTTTTACAAGTCAAAGGAAAGATTTTATCCTAAATTCAAAATTTGTTTTAAAAAATGCAGATTAAGGTACAGTAAGAGTGGAGCAAGGTACAGTAATAGGTTCTCTGGCTTCTAAGTTAAAAACTTTTGCTTTTAAGTTCTGTAGAGACCCTGCAGTATCTAGTCCTCAGCCTAAGGAGTACTTACTTTAGTTTCCTTCAAGCTGTCTGTAGGGAAAGGTTTAGATATGCTTTCCTTAAACATAATGCAATCTTAAAATATCTATGACTGTTTCAGATCTATGAGCTTCGGGTAATGGAGACCAAACCAGATAAGGCTGTGTCCATCATAGAATGTGATATGAATGTAAGTTAAAGCTGATGGGGAAAGTCTGCCCTAACTGTGTCCTCCCAAGAGGAGAGGGCACTTGTGCAGTGATAGCTCTGCACACCCAGCCCAGCTGATGCTGCAAGAAAGGTGCAATCCATGGGGTAGGGAAGATGACTCACTTGGGAGTACTCATGTGCCTTTGAAACCCCACTGTAATCCTGATTAGCACTTCAGGTACTGTCCGGTGACTGCAGTGCCTAGAATTTTATGTTTAGCTTCAGCGTGTTTTATCTGAGTTTTATTTAACAGCTTTGTCTTGACTCATATTCCAGTGATACTGTGGAGCTGTTTTACTGCTCTGTTTCCATTACATGCTAAGGTTCATTCCTAGGAGGCTTGGCCTTTTTTTAGGCCTGAGTTAAAATGTTTAACAAGCAAGCCTTAGTTCTTTTTAGATCAAATGTAGTGATAATAGTTAATGGAGTTTTGAGGAATAGTAGTATAAAGCTTATGATTTAAAGAAAAAATATTAATCATGGGTTTTTCCATGCTTTTTGTGTAAATAGGTGGATTTTGATGCTCCTTTGGGATACAAAGAACCAGAAAGAAGTGCACAACATGAAGAGACCACAGTAGGTTAAGCTTTTGTTCTTCCAAAATGCATTCCCTAGAAGTCAGCATTGATTGTGGGGGGAGCAGTGAGTGCCAACATAATTTTTTTAAAATTTAAACAAGTTCTTAAGGGTAAATTTTACCAACCAGAAGCTGTTGCATGTGTTGCTTAGGAGACTGTTGTTTACACACTGTTGTTTTGGGAAAGGGATTGTTCTGAAGTTTTGTTTGGTCAGAAATACTTGGAACTGGTTTCAGGTCATGTACATGTCAGAACAGGAAGAAAATGAACTTGTTTTTCCCCTTGCAGGATGTAGAAGCGGACCACAGTGGGTATGTGAGTGACATAGGATTTCGTGTAAGTCCCCTATTTCTGCTGCTTTCTCAATGCTGAAAAATGGTGAGGGAAAGTTGTTCTGAACACCTGCAAAATATTAGTACCTGTTCTTAAGAGATGCTCATTATTTAACTGGCAAGTGCCTGTGAATGTTTTGTGTGATCATAGCCAGGACCAGCAGGACTTGCTCTCTGCAAAGGGCAGATGGGAAGCTGAAACAGAACCCTACATCTATGAATCATCAGCTTATATGTATCAAAAAGAAGCATGGTGAATTAAATAACTAAATAAAAATTGCTGTAAGATTTTTCAGAATATAATGTCCTTGTGCAGTGTGCTTTCAAATGCCAGGAGTTAAATTAAAACTCGTTATCCACAGGCATTCTCTGGATCTGGGAACAGATTGGATGGCAAGAAGAAAGGTGTGGAGCCCAGCCCCTCACCAATTAAACCAGGAGACATCCGAAGGTATGTCAGCAAGTACATCAGCTGTCAGCAAGTGAAGGGTCAGTGTTTGAGCAGAGTTTTAGGTTTTTTCCCTGCTTCTGCAATATAAACAAACTAATTCTGTCATGAGTTTGCCTGTAGGAAATAGTCTTTCTTATCCACAGGCTAGTGGAAGCATGCCTGTGGCCAGGCTTCCACAGTAACCCCAATATGTGATTATTTACTTTTGCAATCTGTGCCTACCTTCAGAAAATAATTCAGTGGTTTAATTCTGGAATTATTTAGAAATGAAAATGTGCAGTCGGTGTTGGTATTACACTGACAGTCACAGAATAGGTCTCTCTGTGTTCAACTCAATGGTAGGTATAAAACTTATTTCATAGTATTTTTATGCTTCTTTTCCAGAGGAATTCCCAACTATGACTTCAAGATTGGTAGAATCACATTCATTAGGAATTCACGTCCACTGGTCAAGAAAGTAGAAGAGGTAAATAAAGTTGAATCCTCTCCAGTTTTGCACAGAATTAGAACTAAGATCCAAGTTTGTGGTCCCTCTCCCTTTCCCCTTGATTTTTTACAGCATGCTTCCACTAAAAAGTGGTAGTAGTTTAGAATGGTTTGAATTACATGAAGCAACCTCTGATGTCCTTGTTACTGATGGAAAAAGATTGGCTTGGTGTCAGTTTATTAAGCCAGTTGGCTGAAAGGTCACCAAAATGCTGCTATTTTATTTTCAGGAAGAAAGTGGTTTTTATCTAGAGTAGGATATGAAATGTCTACAGTCAGTGGCTGCTCTGATGGAGTATTCTTGCTAACAGTCATTCAGCGTTCATCACACACAAGCAGTGAGCAAAGAGGTAAAACCTTTCTCCCCCCTCTTTCTTTTTTTCCAGGATGAATCTGGAAGCCGGTTTATTGCCTTTTCAGGAGAAGGCCAGTCCCTGCGCAAAAAAGGAAGAAAGCCCTAAGTTGTAGTACCTTCAGCTAGTTAGGGGGAAAATAAAATAACAGTTGAAGCATCTTGGATCTTAGTAATAGCAGTTGAGAGATTGTTTTGCAACACAGGAACACTTAAGGTGTTTTGGTTTCAGTTTCATATTTAGAGCTGGAGCTGTCAGACTGTCTTAATTTTCAGCTGAAAATTAAGTTCTGGGAATTTGGAAGAAGCTTTTTGTATGTGTTGTAAAGAGGGGAACGTAGATCTGTGATAAACCTGAGAAGCGAAACTAACAAGCTCTAGCTTACTAAGGGTCCGGTTCTTAGATTACATCCTCCCCTCATCTCCTGAGTGATGATGATCTCATGTCGCTCTGTGCTTGGTATTTTCCTCACTTTATATATATTTTGCCACAATTTCAGGTCAGCTTTTTGGTGTGGTGCAAATGAAGGGTGACTTTGGTGTTTGGGATTTTAGTGCAGGGAGTCTCTTTAAGCTTAGCTTCAGGTGTTGGGTTATTAATCATTCTAAGCAAACCTCCTGTAACTGCTTTTTATATTTATAATTAATAACATGCCTTTTAATAGTTCAGATACTATAAGGTAGCGTAGCAATCTCTTGGCACGTGTTGGGAGAGGAGAGACACAGCTGCACTGCCCGGTGCCGCTTTGGAACGGTGCGAATGTATCCTGTGCGTGCGAGCGTACCCGGGTGCGATCCTGCGCTCTCCCCAGAGCCCGAGTAAAAGTTCCTGGAGCCCATCTGCGTCCCTGTGTGGTGATTTCGGACAGACCGAAGGGCGGGCGCTGCCGGCCATGCCTGCGCCTCCTCTAGCAGCGCCCGGCTGGTCGCGGGCTGCGCTGGTCACGTGCCGGCCGCCGCGCAGCCATTGGCTGCCGGGCACGGGGCCGGTTTGTGCCGCCCCTCGCCATTGGCCGGGGCCGCGGGTGCCGCCGTAAGCGCGGTGGCCATTGGCGGCGGCGCAGCATGGCGAGCGCGGAGGGCTCCTGGCGGGTGAGCGGGGGCGCCGGGGCCGGGATCGGGATCGGGCGGGCGGCGGGACTCGGTTCAGCCCGGCTATGTCCGTCCGCAGCCGCCGCGGTCGTGCGAGGACTACTGGGGGGAGTGGAAGCATTGCCGCGGGCTGCGCCATGCCTTCCACCACTACTACGCGCACGGGGAGCTGCCGGATTGCGGCCGCTGGCGGGAGGACTACGAGGCCTGCCGCGCCTGGGAGAGGGACCGCGCCGCCGCCGCGCAGGTACCGGCCCCGCTCCTGGTCCCGGCCTGCCCGGGGCTCTCCGGGCCGGGGCTGCTGGGGTTGGGGAGGGTTTGGAAAAGCAGGCGCCGGCTCGGAGCGGAGGTGGGTAGGATTGTCTTACAAATCCAGCGAAGGATCCAGGGAATATTTTTAATTTCCAGGTGTAAAAGCTCTTGATTTGTGTTGCTCTGACATTTCCTTCCTAATAGGAAAAGCCGCCACGTTAGAGGGAAAAGGCATTCCCGGGGTGTCTAGAAATGCTCCTGGCTACAGCCCCGCGGACGCTGGAGGACAGGAGCCCTGCAGCACAGGCTACTGTAACTCCTCCCTCCTGCCAGCCAGCACAGCTTCTGCGGGGAGGGTTCCACAGCACTGCGAGTTTCCTTCGTAACTCAGGAGCCAGAGGCAAAATATAAATATGACTTAGTTAAAAACTTATATTCTGGCTTACTTAGATAATATTTAGCACTTCTGCTTAAGCATGATAAACTTCTATTTCTTCTTTTATCTCAAATATTCACAGCAGGAAATCAGCTCTGTATGACTGGACCATCCAACGCCATTATGGTAATATTATTTTTCCTGTATTTCAGGAAGCTTTGTGCAAGAGTGAAAGAGCTCGAGTAATGGAAAAACAGAAATATGCTCCAGTGTGGAAGCTCAGGAAGAGCCCACCACCTGACTGGTATCTACCACTTGACCATGACAAATCAAACTAACAAAACTGTTTTCTGTGTTTGGACAGTAACATAATACACAATTCAGAATTATGCTGGCTTTTTTTTTTTTTTTTCCCCACATCATGTTGAAGTTCTACAACTGTAGCCCTGCCCTGCAATACTTTAGCACTCATTTAAAAATACTGAAATTTTATTTAAACACAGAGTACTTTTAAAGATAGGTTTGAGGTGCTTAATTTGATTGTGGTCTTTGACTGCTGTCTTATACTTCAGGATTTCATCTCAGCAGGCACCTTCTAAATTACTCCATACATGCTCCAGCTCTGAGGGCCTTTGCCCTACCAGCTGGCATTGAGCACTTTTGGAACAAAGTACCCAGCCCAGACCTGCCACATGGGAAAAAAAAAAAAAACAACCTGGGAGTCTTCCATGCCAGCTCAGGACAATCCCAAACACTGGCATTTAAAAGACATTTCCCAGAATCAGGATAGTGGTGGTTGAAGAGTTTCTCACCTGGAAGCTGCGCACCCTGAAACTGCCCCTTTGCTGAACTGTTCAAGTGGTGGTGTGTGTTGTGGCAGTATTCAAAACTACTAAAAAATAAAGGTTTAAACAAATGGAGACAGAGATCTGGTTTGTATTAGGGCGAACCCACAGAAACTTAGTTACAACAGTTACATGGCAATATAAGAAAATAAAAAAAAATTACTTTGCTACTATGTAACATCATGTAGCTTTGCTAGATGTGTTATTATCTGAACAGCCACTAAAACACAGAGGTACTTCATTTATTTTTTTACAGTCACATCTTGCAGTGTTGTAACCTGCAGGAAGAATTGTTTGTTCTTATTCCAATCTTTCTTCTTTCAAGTTGGCTGAGCACCTCCTTGGCAGCTGAAGCAGGAGCTCCTCCATCACTGCGTGTACACCTTGGTGATGTCAATGCACTTTCCTTCGGGGGGATCATAGCCAGGAAGGGGAGGGGTGTAACTGGGTCCCTCCCTCTCGAAGGGGAAAAGGCCCTCATCCCTCCGGATTGCTGCCTCATACAGCTCCTCGGATTCCAGGCGCAATTCCTTCAGCGCCTCTTGCTGAGATTCTACGAGGGCCTTAATTGCTTTCTTTTCTGCCTCATCTTGTTTCTGCTTAAACAAACACCACTTCTTCAAAAGCAAAACTCTTCTTTCAGTCTCTTCAGGAGAAAGAGTGGGAAGACTCCGCACCCTGGTGAAGAGAAGGATAACACTGTAATAGAGAAATAGCCTGACTCCAAAGACCAAACTAACAAAAATAAAATGCTGAAACAAAAAATCTCACCACCAGGCAAAAAAACCCCACCAAACCCAGAGAATACACTGAATTCACTAATAATTTAGTCAGTCTATGAGGTTCTCCAGTCAGTCTAACAGGAAATGCACTGGTTTTCATTACTCTTAGCAAGAAAAAGTAGTATTTCCTTTCCATACTTTTGTCCTGATGGAAGTGGATAACATTTTGTACCAAGGCAGACACTATGTTGCAGTTGTGTAGAGAAAGGAATCCACTGTTACAGCCGGTGCATGGCGAAAGACCTACTGACCTGTTGCTCTCTGAGTACTTAAGTGGTGTTATAAAATCCTCAATTGGAATCAGTTCTGGGGCAGCTTTTTCCAACTTTTTAAGCTTTTTCTTCATACGCTCCTTCTGTGCTTGCTCTTTCTTCACATCCACTTTCTTTTTCTTCTTTGGTTGTGCTCTACAAGGGAAATAGTAAATGAAAGAAGATATTTTGTCCTTTAATTCAACACCAGCAGCTTTCTCTTCCATTGCTTAATTTGGTCCCTGACAAAAGTTCCAGCCATTAGCTTTATTCAAGTAATGTAATTTCCAGGAGCCAGTGGCTTGTCTGCTGAGATTTTTCTGCAGAGAACTGCCTGGGAAAAGCAATTTTGTGCTAAACATCAGAATGACCTGAGAAAGTTCCACAAAAATTGAATTAGAATTGTTTTAACTGGCTCAGAGTGCAGCACAGCAGGTTTATCATACAAGTGGCTTGTGCTGGAAAGGACCTTAAACCTCATGTAGTTCTATCCCCCTGCCATCGGCAGGGAAACCTTTCAGTAGACCAGGTTACTCCAAGCCCCATCCAGCTTGGCCTTGAACAAATACTCCAGTTGTTTCACATTAAAGAAGACTGCAAGTAGTTTTATGCATACTTCTAAAATTTCTGCATTTGGAGCAAAGTTCAGGCTGTAGATGTTACTTTTCCATGCAGATCCGAGATACTATTGCACACTCCGCAAACACAAACTGACCCTCATTCCTGCCTGGCAGACTGAAAAAACATTTATAGTGTGAAACAGTCCCTCTCCAACAGTACCTAAGAGCTACCTGGGTATTTTAAATCAAACTGCATCAAAACAAAACCAAACACTGATTTGTGGCACGGACATACGCATGGGCTGCCTCTGCCTTCACAGCAAAGCATTTCTGGTCCAGCCAGGCTTTCATTGGTGCTTCCCAGCAGGGAATTCTGGAGCACTGCATAAATCCCAACATTTCCAGCTGTGTTCTGTGGTTGTGCTACCCACAAGCACAAAGTCATAACTATCACCTCTGCACTCTCCACAGGAGGCCAACAGTTCCTAACTGCTTTGGCATATAGAGACTTAAACATGTACAGTTAAAGGTTAAATTTGGACTTGGGAAAATTTGTGTTCCCCCAATGCATAAGAACACTTCTGTGTGACTCCAAGAAAGCTGCACTCACCTCACAGGGATGGATGTCCTGAACTCCAGCAATGAACTCTGCCAGTGACTCTCTCGGAGCAGGACCATTTGGGGCAGCCAGGAGCTGCAGGAGGAAAAGTAACACAACACATGAGGAGAAACTGATTGATGTCATTGATTCTGCACAAGAGCTATTTGTTATTCCTATTTTACAGTGATGAGTTTTGAACCATTTTCGGCCACTTCATTCATGGCAGGATACATGATTGCCCAGAGATGGCCTCAAGAGCTAGGTGATCTAAGTAACTGATCCCAAATATGGACTGCTCGGTGTGAGCCCACAGATACCGCGGGGTGAAACAGATCCACTTTTTGGATAGGTTACAGCAGTTTTATTTTTAAGCTCTGACAACGACCCCTTTGAGGAGCTGCTATGTGAGAGGTCAGACCACTGCCGTTCAGATTAGAAGAGCGATGCCGACTGTCGTATCTCGGCAGCTGTCACGGGAGGACGAACCGACCTAGGTGCCAAGGCACCGTCTTCTCCAGATGCAGGGTCCCAGCGCGGGCCCAGCCCCCCGCAAGAGCCCGGGCGGGGCCCGCGGATAAGAGGCGCTTTCCGGGCTCCCTCCCCGCGGTCCTGGGGCAGAGCAGCCCCAGCCCTACCTGAGCCGGGCCCCGCGGAGCCCCCGCGCAGCCGCCGCCGCCGCCGCCCACATGGCCCCGCGCTGCGCCTCACCCCCGCCGGCCGCGCTCCGACCCCGCGTCCCCCGTTCCGGCGCACGAACGTTCCGGCGGGCGCCCTACACGGAGCTCCCGCCCCGCCGGCACCGGCCCGCTCCGCCCGGCAGGGGGCGCCCGCCCGCGCTGTGGGGGGGCGGCGCCTGGCGGGGGAACGGCGGGGTCGGGGCGCTGTTTCCCGCCGGGCCGGTTTGGCGGTTGCCAGGCGCCGAGTTCCGGCGGTGCCGGATCGCCGGCGGCGCCGGGCGGGGGATGCGGCGGGGCGGCGGCGGCACCGGGACATGGAGCGGCGCTGAGGCGGCTCGGGCCGGCCGGGGGCGCGGGCACTGCGGCGCCGGGCGCGGGCCCATGGTGGCCGGCGGCCGCTGAGCGCCGCGGCCGCGGAGGCAGCCCGGGCGGAGCCGCCCTGGGGTCCCGAGGGCGGAGGCCGGCGGGGGCCCCGGGCGGGGAACAATGAAGCTGCTGAAGCCGACCTGGGTCAACCACAATGGTGAGGGCCGGCCGGGCAGCAGGTGCCGCGGGCCGGCCGGGCAGCAGGTGCCGCGGTCCGGCCGGGCAGGTGCGGCGGGGGAACGGGCGTGCGGCACTCGCGGGGGGCGCGGGGCGGGCGGAGCCTTGGGCCGCTGCCGGGCGCTCCCGGGGCGGCCGCGGGTGCCGGAGCTCCGCCGCCCCGGGAGCGGCGGCTGCGGGCGGGGGCAGCGGCAGCAACAAGTCCGCGCCCCCGCTGTCCCGGCGGACGGGAGTGGAGCCCGGTGTCGGGAGCTGGGCGGGTTCCCGAGGGCGGCGTGGGGAGAGCTCGTCCCCAGGACGGGGCCGTACGGCGGCAGCCCCTGGAACCCGGCCCGCCTGGCACGGCGTGTTCGCTGGGGACAGCCGGGCACCGTCGTGCCGGGGCTCTGCAGGGAGGGCTGCAGGCTCTGAGGGAGCGCTGAGCTGCTTCCGCCGGCCGCGCACGGCCGCTGGGCCGCTTCGTGCTTGAGAAAGTGCAGAGGGATGGTTTGAATCGAGTATGGCCTCTGCAGAGGAGAGGAGTTTTGTGCTGATCCCGAGGTCCCCTCCGGACGAGTGTCCAGGCAGGATGAGTGTGTGTCCAGTGCACTGCGCTGACCACCCGGGTCTCACATTGCTGACACAAGTGCACTGTTAAAAGTCCTCAAATGCGTTAAGCTGTGCTATCGTTCTCCATGGAGGGAAAAGTTTCTTCCAACAGTACTTTCAAAGCAACTCCCTGAATTTATGTAGCATCCTGTCTGCCAGTCGTCTGGTGATGTTGAAGAGATGTGTGAGCTAAAACAGCTTAGAGTGAAGTGTCGATAATTGACAGAAGGCTCTGTACTTTCCTTGTGTGGCAAATACACGACGGCACCAGTGTTTATGTCATATTTACCCTGCTTAGGATGAATTTCCAGATTAATACCTCTGCTGTTCCTGGTGAAGCAGTGAGAAGAAACCTAACACAAAGAGCTCACTTCTGTTTATGCAAGTTTTACCCTCAGATTCATGGGTACAACTTTATTTCAAGTGCAAATTTTATACTCTGTCAATGTGTAAATGTCATTAGCTGGGCTCATGTAGCTGATTGGTATCTAGAATAAAACTAAGACCAGGTTATTCAAGCTGGAAAAGCATGCTTTGAGTTAAAAACCACAGGTACAACTTTACAGCTGCTTTTCTGCATGTATTGTATTCTTTGTGTTCATGCTGCAGATTTTGATAACAACTTAAGCCTCAAAATGCCATTCATGTGCATCTTTACTTGGCCTGCTCTCCAGAGACTCTATAGGCAGCAGATGGACTCAACCTTGTAAACAAAAGTTGTAGTGAACTGAAAAAAATGTGGAAGTGCTCTATTTGAGATGTTTTTTTACATTTCTGCTTGGTTACTCTAAACAAATGTAGCATTTACATCTTAATCTCTGGCTGCCTGTGGTCAGGCTGTCCCATGCCTCTGTGTATCTTCAGTGGGAGCACAGGAGCAGCTGAATAAAAACTTTCAGCCTAAGTCCTTGGAGATCACAGAGATTAGATCTGTAACTTGGTATGGGTATGTATTTGAAATCTGTAGCAATTTAGAACACATCCAGCCATGTGCAGCAATTTAGAACACAGGCTTCAGCCAAGCAGGGCTTCATTTATAGAGCCCTGTGATAATGGATAATGCACTGCACAGGGCCTTGATAGTCCTGAATTTTACTCCCATTTCTGCCGCTGACCTCTTGGGATGAGTTTGGCCAAGGCACTTCGTCTTAATTTTGCCACCTGCAAAATAGACATTTACCAGCAGCTCCATTTGTGAGGTGCTGTCAGGGCTGAAAAGGTGTGCAGGACTGTGTGACAATCACACATTCCTGTCCTAGGGGCAGGGAGTGCAGGATAAAAACCGGTGAGTTTAGTCAGCCTCCTCTAATGTACCTGGGTTCCGGATCCTCCAGGCATTGCTGCATGTGAGGAGTCTCCATCACTCCTAATGGGGCTCCCTCTTGGCTCTGAAACTTCTCCAGAAACAGGGTGAAGAGAATTTACACTGTGTGTGCTGGAGACTCTGTGATAATTCTTATTCCTTGGATTTCTGCACAGGCACACGGGGCTGCCTCACTATTCTCATTGGTGAGTGAGTCCTGATAGCAGGGCTGGCTCTTCTACACACCAGATCCAGCTGCTGTCATTTCAGCCTTTTCCTCTTCCCACTCAGTTTTGGGAGTTTTGTTTTACTGAACGGACTAGAATGATGCTTCCAGGCATACATTCTCCAGGAGATAATAGGCACTAGAAGTGAGTGTTGTAGCCAGGAAATCCAGCACACCTGGGAATTGTGTGCTGCACAGCCAAGGTGCCACGCACTTATGGTAAAAGCAGTACAGCATATTTCTCTCCAAGTTTTTGCAATGGAGTTCTTAATGTCGCTTTTTCTGAGTGCTTATTGGAATTATTTCTTGCTCAGATGCATTTTCTATAAGCTTTTCATGCACTTAATGTGGGTTTATTAGATTTTACATTAAATTCTCATTATTGTTGTGTTCTTCTCTTCCATGTGCCTTTAACTTAGAGCAAGGAAGAATATTCAAAAGTGCAGTCTAATGGTGGGGGCAGGAACAGATGACTGTAAGATACAAGTGGTGTGATTGGCTTCTCCTTCCCAGTCTTGCATTCAGTACCTCTGTAGACATGCATCGTGCACCCAGCAGCTGCCTGTACATACTCATCACTCAGGGTTTTGAGAGCCCAGGTGCTTGAAGATAACTCATGCAGGCAAACACTGATCCCTGTGGGAAAGGAAGTCCCTTGCTGTTCCAAGAAACCCTTGCAAGCCCCAAGGTGCTGCTCATGTATAACAGCTTGTGGAAACTGGAGCCTGCTGTTGTTTAAATATAGGCATGGAGTTTATCTCTCCAAGCTGTAATGGTGGAATGTAAATATTTGAATTGATTTGTGAGTCACATTGACTCTTATATATTAGGTGGGCTGGAAGCAAATTGAATAGAAATTCACTCATTTTGAGGTAGAAATTCACCTAAAACTGTTTTTACATTCCATTGACTATTGTATAAAGTTAAATAACAAACAAAAATTTAAAATAGCTTTTATTCTTCACTGGTGTACTTTTTTTTAAAAGACAAAAGTTGGGTTTTCTTACTTAGGTCTTTTTGTTCCAAGCTTGTTTCATTATCAGTATTTCTTTAAGTACATAATGTATATTTGGGTTCTTTAAACAAATAAGCCCACAGGACATCTGGTATATCATAAGGTGTTCTGTATTTAATGAACCTGGTTTGCCTCCTCCCGCAATGTGATTCTGGGAGCTTCAATAATTTAAGCTTATCTTTTTTTAGAAATTATTTCAAGAGGTCAGAATGTCTTAAAACACATTGTGTTAGATTTTAGTGTTGCTGCTTAAATATCACAGTTTGTTTTAGTTCATTTTTACTGTTGGGAAACTCAACACATCTCCAATTAGAAACATGGGAAAGCTTCAGTTGCTTTGAAGCAGGGACCTTGTGCCTTTTGGTGTGTTTCAGAGGAGCTAGCAACATAATCTGATAAAGACATGAACCCGGGGAAGAAGGTGATTGCTATCAAATAATGGCTCCTTCTTCATTATTTTGAGAAATTGAAGGAAGTGAAGAAAATCACAGTATCTGTGCTCAATTTGTAAACTCCAAATAGTATGGAACAAGTCTCATAGCTTTAACCTGTTACAGTTATCCAGCACTGTAGATGGCATTCTCTTGACTGTGGTACCCTGGAGGAAAGAGCACCCTGGCAATGACTTTGTCGTGCTGAATTTCTGTCCTGTGATCACTTCATCTGCTCCTTTTGCGTTTTGTTTTTGTTGTTCTTTTTTTTTTTTAATTAGTAATTGGACATTAAGTACTGGGCAGATCATTGTGTATCATTAGTTACCTGTGGAATAAGATCCCTTCCTGGATCACAGTTGAGCCATGTAGGAAACATGTCCAGCACTTCATTTATTACTGCTGCCTTTCCTGAGTGCAAAGTCCATACCCTCTTTAAACTTCACAGATAAAATAATGCCTTGTGACCTGGCAACTTTAACTGAGGTCTGAGTTTTTAGGATTATAACCATTTATGAAAATCTGCTCAGTGCTTATTTGATTGAACTCCAAATTTATGCTAGGAAAAACCTAAAAATAAAATTTTATCCCACAATATAAATATATGGAGAGTTTATGTTTGAACCCATGGCCTTCAATGCCAGTTCCCATTCATGTCACAAAACAGAGGAGAACTGAAAGTGGCTTGGAGTGACCAGAATGATCAGAAGTGTGAAACACCCTTTGTACAAAGAACAAATGAGTAGAGTAAGGACTATTTAGGCAAGGAGTGGGATCATTGGGCTGGGAATGTGATGAACAC